ACCACTATACTATAAACCCATAGGTTCTAATTGTAAAATAATATTTAATTATATACTGTATATATATTTATAATAATATAATTTATTAACTTTTTACTTTTTTTTTAAATCCTTAAACAAGCTATAGTTATTTATTTATTAAATTATAATAAACCATTGCAAATAAAATTATATATAAAAATCTTTTCAATCCAGCTTACCCATCTATAATATTAATCTCTAGATACAATTTATGGAGATAATATATTATTTATCTATTAATTAGAATTTAGATACTTTTTGCTAATAGAGTTATAGTTTACAAATCATCTTCACAAATCATATACTATTTTTTTTTTCTTGGCTAAAGTATGACTTTACTTTAGTTTATTAATATAGATAGTTTTTTATATACGAATTATATACATAAAGTTTAAGCTACTGTATATTATTTTATATTAACTAGAATTCACCCACAGGTACCATAGACTATCTGGGTGTAGCCTGCCATCTTGCTTGCTATCCAAGCCTATATTAGCTCTATTTGTTCAATTCTATTTTTTCTTTTTTATTCTCTGTTTAACCATTCTATTATATATTTATAATTTTCTTCTTTTTTTTTTTGTGTCTATTTCTCTCTGTACTCCTTTTTACATTTTCTTTATTTTCCTTGTTTTTTTTATATTTTTTTTCTTTTTCCTCTTTTTTTCCTTTTTTATTTCATTTTTCTTTTCCCATTCTCTAATCACTTGGTTCCTTTTTTTTTAAATTCTTTTCACCTCTTGCTCTATTGTTTTATTTATTTCTTTTATAGTTTTCTCTGATTTTTGTTTATTTATTTCTTTCAAAATTTTCATCTATTACTTTGATACTATTCCTTGTATTATCTATGCCCAGCTGATCTTTAGGTTTTTTTCTTCCATTACTTGTTGAATTTTATCTTGTCTCTTGTTTTTCTCTTCTGTTGCTAGCTTTCCACCAATATAGTGTTTCATTATTTCTATGATTCTCTGTTTTAGTCTTAATATTTATTGTTTCATTAGTTTGTACTTCCATATGTACAGTATATTTGGTCTTCTTTTTTTCTCCTATATCTTATACATTTTTCATATTTATCATATCCTTTTTGATCTCTTGTTTTTTTTTTTTTAGTGTCAACAGTTCACTATTGATCTTCTTTTCTAATTATTTGCTGTTACTACCTTCTTCTTCACTATTTCATAATATTTTTTTATATCTTTTTCATGTTGCTATCTAGTTAAGATACTTTGTATTTGCTTGTTTCTTTTTAATTTTAACCATACTATAATGTTTTTAATTTTGTTATTGATTTTCTATATCTTTTTCCAACTATTGTTTTGTGTTCTTTTTTTTCATATTATATCTCTATCTTTATTAGTCTTTGCTTTTTTTTCTGTAACATTCGATTTTTTTTGTTGCTTTTTTGTTTCCTTGTTCACTTCTTTGAAAATTTGATCTTATTTGTTTTCATCTATTTATTTTGCCACAAATTTAACCTTTTCTTTTTCTCTTATCATCACATCTAGCTTGACCAGTACTGCTTCTTCCTTATTTTGTCTTTGTAATTCTTTTTTAATCTTTTCACTTCCATTTATATATTGTTTTATTGATTTTAGGTTCATTATTATCCTTATTTTTTCTTCTATATCAATAAGTTTAATGCCTAATATTATTGTTTCTAACTCTGCTTATATCACATTTTGTTATATTTTTCCATATATATTTTTTAATTTTCTTTTTCACTCTCAAAATACTTTCATACTCTGTACCCTTTTTCTTCTTTTTGTTCTATGCCATATCAATATATATTTTTTGTCATTATACTCTTCTACTCTCTTTTTTTTCTTTTTGTTTTCTTTAGTTTTTCTTGATAGTAATTCTTCTCTAGACTCTTGTGTTCTTATTCTGATATATTGTATTTTCTTCTTTTCTTCTATTTTAACTTTTTTGACTACTAGATATTATGTCTTTGCTATTTTCTTATTGAAAGTTTACTTTTTAAAAAGAATTATTACTTTTAATATAATTTTTAGAAAAAAAAAAATTAATCAAAAAATTAATAAAATAAAAAGTAATATTTTAATAGAAAAATAAAATTTAAAAAAAAAAATTTTAACTTTGTCAAAAAGAAAAGAAAAAAAAATTTATATAAAAAAATAAGACAATAAAAAAAAAAGGTAAAAAATATATACTGTATATAAAAATTTTTATTTATAATATAAATTTAAATAATTGATTATTATATTACAGTATATAAAAAAAAATAAATTAAAATTTATTTAATTTTTTTGTATATATAAATACGTATATTAATATTATATTATAGTTAAATAGTTAATGTTTATATAAAATAATTATTAAATATTAGAGGTCTTTAAATATAAATATAATAAAGAAACAAATTGTTTATATCTAGAAAATATAAAAATATATATATATTTTACAAATAATTTAAGTTATTAAGATTAATTTTTTAAAAAAGTAATAAAAGTTTAAAAAAAAATTTTTGTTTAATTATTTGCAATTAAAAATTTATTTGATTATTATTATTTTATAATTAACTAGAAATATTTAAAAATACTTTTAAAATTATTTTTTAAAATCTTATGTTTGAAAACTTTCAATTATAAAAAAATATTGGATTTTTATTTGTAATTTCTTTTTTAAGCTATTTTCTTTTGAAATTATTATTTTATTTAATTAATAATTAGTTTTCAAGACTTTTTTTTTTTAAACTATTTTCAAGATAATTAACAATTAAAAAGAATTTGTTATTAAATTAAAATAAGACTTTTTTTTTTAATTTTGAAAAGAAATAAAATCAATATAATAGAAAAAATATATATATAATTATTTTTTATTAAAGAAAATACTTTATTATTTTGCTTTTTTTGTTAAAACCAATAATATTATCAAATTTAAATATAATATATAATAATTATTATTTTATTTTATAAATTATTTGTTATTTTATATATTTTATATTTTATGTGTAATAAGTAAAATTATACTGTATATATAGTAGTCAAAATGTAAAAAAAGATAATACTGTAATAAAAAATAATAAACTCTTATTTACTGTATATTTAAAAATCAATTTTGTATTATACGTAATCGTTTTTATAATAAATATACAGTATTTGTTTCAAATAATATTAACAATTCATTATTAATTTTTAATAAATTGTTATCAAGATTAATTATTTTTTATTTTTACAGTATATTATTTCTTTAATTTTCATTTAATTAAAATATGATTTAGATCATTTTTTTTACAAGATTAAGATTAATACAAAATGGGTTTATTTTAAATCGATACTTTTTAAATATTTTTTCTTAATGATTATTTATGATTCGAATGTTTTAATTTTTGTTTAATCATAAATGATACTGGTAATATGGGAGAATACGTTTAATCATAGAATTACAACAATATGAATTTTTTTTATTTTTATAATCGTGATACCGTCTTATACAGTAAATCATTTTCATTTCCATTTAACATATCTTTCCTTGATCGATGGGATGCTTAAATTTTCTTGATTCTATTTCTTGGATTATTATTTAACAAACAATATAAATTAATTCTATTAAAAAGAATCTATTTGGTAGAAAGTAAATGTTTGAAACAAGTAAAACATTTTTTTTTAATTACATGATTAAATCATCGCATTGCTATATACAGTATACAGTATAAAAATGTGTGTGTATATAATTTTTTTTTAAAAAAAAGGTTTATTGGATTCGTGTTCTTTTTCTTACTTTGATCACCAGAGATTATTACATTAGTTAGTGTCGGAAGGTTTTTTACCAGGAATGTTTTTAATTAACAATATATTAGAGAAATTCTATTACATTCTAAGAAACAAATAAATTAATTAATAATTACAACTATAAATCTATTTATAGTAAAGCATAATAAGCGAAGTTTCTAAACGCCATACGCACTATACATAAAGGTAGGTCGATGGAAAGTTCGCTACCATGAATTGTCACGTTTTCATGGGAAGGGGTCCACGTGTCGAATATTACAAATTAATATCCCCTGTCCTATAGGTTCCATGCTTAAAATCGTCATTTATTATTCACAAACAAAAATATATTTACAACATACAATCTTCCCAATTCACAGGTTCCTTGACAATTAACACCTCTTCATCTATTTGATCAATTAATATTTTAGGTATGCTAAGATTTTTTCTATTAAATTTAGCAGAGCTAACGGAATTGATTGACGTGTTAACATTGCTACGGTCAAACGAGGTTATTATGTGGCTCTCCGATTTGTCCCAAACTGTGGATTCTGATGAATACGCGTCGGAAATTTCATTATTATGGTTAAATTGTCCTAATTTTAGGCGTTGCATACGAGTCGTAGCCGGTGATGGTGATTGGATTGAAATATCTTGACTGTGGTCGAAATGATAGTTGTAATCGATTACCGGAGCGCCCGCCGACATTTTGCGTTTCTTTTTTGATAATATTAATCTGGCTATCGTAAAAAATATTATCGATACGATTAATATTAATCCTACTATTAGTAGGATCTTACAAGGAGTGCTCGTTGAAAAATTTTTTGTAGCGTTTGGTGTCGAAGTTTGTGAAACTTGGGTTGTCTCCGATGAATATGCCGTTCCATAATAGTAGATCTGATCGGTGGTTAATTTGTCGCCGCTTACGGTGGTGCTTTGAGAGAACGATGATGTTATGGAGACTTGTGTGGTTAACGTTGAAGACGACGACGTGGACGGTGAAGTCATGATAATTGATTTTGATGCTGGTTTGGCTTGAGTTACAGAACTGCAAAATCCGTTATTTTTATTTCCACTATTCTCATTACAAAGGTCCCGCTTGTAAGGATGGATTGTTAAACTTGAAAAAAATCCAAACATTTCACATAATATCCAGCGTTGTGATTTTTTTTTTTTAAAAAATGATTTTCCCGGGATTCCGTTCTACGAAAATTTTTTTAAATTAATTTGTCAAAAGGAGAATAGACGTTATCGTTGTGAGTGGAAGAGTGGGAGTTGTATGTTGTGTTTGGTGAGCGAACTAATGAGAAGAATGTTTTATATTCGTAGGTTCATAAAGAGAAAAAGAAGCAATATGATATATAATTAAAAGAAAAGGAAAAGGATGTTTTGGAAAGGAAAAGAATACTGCGCTATAAGTTTGCCTTATAAATCCAAGGAATATATCAAGATAATTCCTAAAGAGAAAGAATTAATGGAAAAAAAAAGTTGATTAAAATAGTCCATTGATTGCATAATGGTTACCCAAAAAAAATAAATAAAAAATACGCGACGAATATCTTTCCATGACAATGAAACTCTTACACTTCAAAAGAAGATGCATGTAGAATGTTTTAATGTTTTAATAAACTACAGTAATATCTCATGAAACAAAGTGCGACTTAATAAGTGCATTTCAATGAATCACATATATTTTCATTTGATATAGACATTTTCCCTTTGCCGTACAAGGCACCGCGGATTGATGTTTACATGTTGCATGGAAATCTCCGGGGCAATATCACCCAGGTACCAAAATAGTATACGATGCATATTATTTGTTTTCATGTTACCAAATAAGATTGCCTCCTCGAAAAATGTGATCATATTAAACTTCCTGTTTAGGAGTGTAATAGACTTGTACGCGTAAATAAGAAATTCGGTCCTCTACTTCTCAGGAATTTTTACCGAAAACATTACACGATAATAGACATGTGGCAATCCAGCAATTCTTCAGTACTATGAACCCTGACCTAGACGCCTGAACCAACGGCCCTTTTACTCGTGACAAATTCCTAAATGGACTAAAATTTTTAACCCATCGTCGTTTGCGAATCTACCGAGAAGATACAATAACCAATAGTGTCAGATCTATGGTATCTATGATTATTCGAGAATTGGAGATATCTGGAGCTTCCCTAATAAAAAAATATCCCAAATAAAGCATTTATACTTACAGTATTTATCTATCTATTCGTGATGTTTGATATTCAAAAAAAAAAATAAGGTTAAATTATGGAAGTATAAAAAAAAACCAAAAAAAAAAAGTAATTGAAAAATATCATCCTTGCGATATTTATCAATTACTCTATTGGTACAACCAAACATATAATGTTTTACAAAAAAACAAAGAAATCATTCTTCAAGTGTAACATTTAAAGGTGCTATCATCTTTGATAATTTTCAGATTTGACTCATTTATCTCGGAGATTCTTATTATTATTGAAGTTTGATATAAATATGTTCAAAGAGTACCTAAGAATTTGTTCACATCCAACTTTAAGACTTAGTTAACAAATTGATGTTTCAATCCATAGCATTTAAAGTAAGATCTTGTGGATTAGCAGTTGTTGTTTTTTTTTTGTTTTTTTTTAGACTGTGTCAAACAGAAATGAAATATTAACAAAATATCAAATTTATCTTAACGTTATCTGAAGAAAAGGTGGTGATGATGATAATGGTAATCGGTACACAAATCTTGATTATTAAAAAAAAAAAAAAATCACAAAATCATATATAGAAAAAACAAATAATCTTTTTCAAGAATAATGTTATACACATATCGCAAAGATAACATTAAAATTAATGATATATTCAAATTTGAATGCTGTGAAAATGAACAGAAAAAAAGACGAGTGCACAAGTACACATGATATAATACATACTTAAAATTGACGTTAACAATATTAAGTAGCTTATCGAGTTATGAATATTATAAATTATTATGAAGAATGGAGGCATTTGGTTTGAATCAAATTTTTCATTAAATTAATTTATTTCTTTATGTCGTTGTGATATTCACGCATAAATGCATTTAAGAAATCTTTCGCAAGAAACCTCTAAATTGTCATATTCGAGGTAGAACTTCTTTTTTCCTCTGCGATAATTCAACATCTGTGCATTTTGGAAAATCAAATCATTAGTGTGTGACGATAAGATATTATGTAACAGGACGCATCATATTCATTGCAACAAACAGATTTGCACTTAATATCTACGTAGAATACAGGCACAAACGATAAGCGTTCAAGGATGTTTTATTGCTGTATTATATACATGAAGTTGCATAATGACAACACTCGTGATCGGTAGCTATTTCTCAATAAATGTAGTATTTGCTCTATACGATCGATATCTCGCGAGCTTAAGACTGTCATAAATAAATGTTTGATTTGTAAATAACATGTGATCTCACGCTTAGCACCAAGAACTTTTTTCTTGTGTAAAGTCTGAAACCACTACGTTTCTGTATAATATTTTTTCGTAACCGACAAACCCGTATGTCCAGAATAGATGCAGGGCATGCCAAGACTATTTATTTCACAAGAACGTGAACAATGCGTTTCATATTATTATTATCATGGATATTAGACAAAAATCATTGGTATATTGTCTTATCTATATAAAAGCGTTATTATTTTCTCGACTTGTTCAAAATCACGTCCGGGGTATGTTAAAAAGTACGATCCGATCCGGTTCGGCATTGTCCGAGCATAAATAAGGGTGAATGGTTTCACCGATCAGATTAAGACCATTGTTTTTTTTGTGATAACCACTTGGGATTGCATAACGCTGAAAGCCAATAATAAGACAGGACATCTTTTTCCATCTTTTTCCAAAAATTGATAATGCATATGACGACTTTTTGCCTTTTATTGTTATTCCCATTTGCAGATGTAATTCGAAACTTTTTCCTTTTTTATTTGGACTTGAATGAAACGCCCGATGTTCAAATCAGACGTTTTCATTTATTAAAAATTTTCCTTATCTGTTATGCCACAAACTTTGTCCTTGCTTCCAATTAAATAAATTCAATAGAGCGAATAAAAAAATTTCTTTGACCTATAAAATGAAATAAATGCGCGCTGTTCATACGGCCTAGATCATATGATCTTCGTTTATAACCATGATGCAATTAAAATGTTGCATGTGAACAGATTCTTCAACAATAATTGTGATATCTGTAATATCTGACCTTTTCTTTATCATGCCCATTAAAGATACTTATGTACAGTACATTACATTGCGCATACATGTATCCATTTCATGCTTTGCAATTTATATGAACGACTCAAGATTATCAATCAACTGCAGCTTGAAATTTTGAATACATTGTACGTATACGGCAAAAGCTCTTATATTTAAATGCGATCATTGTTGTCTCACGAAGTAACCTATTTCATTTCATTAAAAAGCTTAATTCGTGAGTGCTATGCCAATAATCATAGCTGTTATGTGTGTATTTTATATACCGTACAGTATATGCATATACAGCAAGTTTTAATTATATTTTTAATTACCGTACATGTTAAGAAGAAGAAACTTTTATTTGCTTCATGATCGATTCTACCAACATAAAATGTCATAATTTTTTAAAAAATTTTTTTTAATATTAATCATTAATCATTAAAAATTTTTGTACAATTGATTTTTATTTTAACAATATACTGTATAATTCACACCATTTTATTCTTTAAAAAAAATCGACAATCAAAATACTGTATTTGATTTATTTCATAAATAAATATGCAATGTGAAACAAAAATAATTGAAAAAAAATCAAAGCTTATATTTTTATTACTAATTTAATAAATAACTAAATAATAAAAATAAAAATAAACATGTATGTATTTAAAGATATAAAAAATAAAAAATATATAAAAGGTTTTTAAATATATCAAAATAATATAATTGAATTATAATTAAAAAAAATTTTAAAATTTAAAAATTTTAATTTTTTTTGTCAGTTATAAAAAAATAATAATATCAATTGTTAAAATTATTTCAATATATAAATTAACTAAATATAGATTAATAAAACTTTAAAATAATTTTATTAAAAGCAAGTAGTTTATTGTTAAATCAAAAAAAAAATTTTTTTTATTAATATAGAAATTATAAAAAAATTATTTTTAAAGTTTTATTAATCTATAATTAATTAATGTATATATTAAAATAATTTTATCAATTAATATTATTGTTTTTTTATAATTAACAAAAAAATTTTAAATTTTAAATTACTTTTTTTTTTTAATATATTATTTTAATATATTTAAAAACCTTTTTTATGTTTCTATTCTTTATATCTCTAAACATACATATGTTTATTTTTATTTAATTATTTAATTATTTAGTAAATTATTAATAAAAATATGAGTTTTGATTTTTCCAATTATTTTTGTTTCACACTGTATATACTATATATATATATATTTGGAAATTCGAAATTTTAAAAAATATAACTATTTCATTTTTGACTCTATTTTCTTAAATATATAAAAATTTTTTTTTGATTTTATAAAAGAATTTTATTTATCTCAATTTGATCTTGAATTTTTGATTATATTGAAATTCCTAAATTATAATTGATTCAAAAAAATTTGAATTGATTAATTAATATATAGTAAGAAATATAAACAAAACATATAATTCTCATATCTTTTATCTTATGCAACAACAATCTAATAATATTATTAATTACAATATACAGTATAAAAAAAAGGTAATAATATTTCTGTTTTGTTAGAAGTAATTTGATATCTCCCTTTTTTCTCTTATATTCTTAATCAGCAATATAATGGTAAAAATTAAATAGTAGAAGTGAATTACAGTCTGCTAACTTATTCAATACATCAAGGTGAAACATTTGGAACTGCGAATGAATGAGTTATTCTTAGCGCTGAGACGAGCTGTCCTTGGCCTTCACGCGGATTTAAAAAGAATCCCACCGGAAGAAGTTTCATAACTAGTCTCCATAGTTAACCTAACGCGTTGTAAGATTATTTTTGGCAGCGTCCAACTTCCTTCTATTCCTTGCCACTTTATAACTTCCCGACAAATGTGCGCGTAATTCACGTTGATCTATGTCTATGTCTACTTGCAGTAAAATTCCCAGGTAAAAATTCGTATAAATTATACAGATGATTTGATTTAGTAAATTCTTTCTACACATGCCCTATCCTTTAACCGACAGCTACATCTAAAATCTTTTTTACACCATTGTATAACACCTGATATTCGTCGGTAAATGAAATACTTAACGGCAATTTACTAACTCGAGAAATTTCACCAGGACTATATTCCAGAAAATGCCAAGAGATTATCACACCTGTGCCATCTGTGATATCTGAATTTTAAACTTTAAAAAAATTCCAAACAGGAAAAATAGACATCTCGGCCTGTTGTAACGATACCATAGAGGCAGTCAAAATGCCTCATCCCGCTTGCGTTTCTCTTGTTAGTTTCGAATGAAATCTCGAGTTGTTTTATATTCTGTGCAAACCCCATAGTAATTTTATGTTGTTTATCCTCTGTAATGCAAATAAAATCCTCAGAATCCTGGGGATGTGTGTTATTATAGAATATTAAAAATAAAAGTGTTAATGAAACCAGTCTTACTAGTAAAGCTTATACATTATATCTTATATCTTGTTCCTACTTTAATTGCATAATCGACACGTCCAGAACTTTCCTCTCCAATAATTTCTTGTTAAGGACGCATGCTGAATTCTTTTTTTCCACAATATACTCGTTACGCATCGCTTCTAAGTAAAGGACCGTGATTTTCACTATGACCAAAATTTCTGCCATGCAGTGTTTCGGTATCCCAGTTTTCGACTAAATATGTATCATTTTCAGTTGTGGTAGCAGACATGGTAGGTATATTGCTCTAGTTACACGTTTTTCTGCCCGGCTTGCAATATAGTATAGCTGGAGTAGAGTTTCTGTTTCGCCAGATGTGGATAGCTCTTTTATTAAACCCTGCACTTTATCAAGTTCTGCAGGTTTTGTAGACTTTTTCAATCTTTGTTGCTTCTGTCATTTGTACATCTTGATTTTCAGACAATGTTGTTTCTTCATCTACAAAGCAGATGGGACAAATTTTTGCATATTTTTATTAATTTTCTCAAAACAATCGTGATAGAAAACGTGTCCACATACCAGCGTAATAAATGCTTGAGGTGGATTTATAAAAATTTCATTATTACGATTATCGTTATGCAATTATGTATTGCTGGTCCACACATGATATCGCTCCTCATTGTAATGTGCAAAGTTTACATATCTAGCATATAGTTTCGAAAAAATAAACTATGAATATCAACGCTAATTCTCCTGTAACACGTGCTTTATCTGTACCTGAAATTTTTGAAAATATACTTTTTCTTTTTTCTAATGATGACTTATTTGAAATTCTTGCTGTTAATCATATCTTGCATTCAGAAGGATTTCGTGCTCTAATGAAATTATACGAATTTTGTTTTAATGTTTGAGTTAAACGATTTAATAATGTATCACTATATGATGGAATGTTAATAAAAATTGTTTGGGTCTATTTTTCTCAAGTCAATAATATTTTCTGTTCACTTAATTCATTAAGATTTTATAAATCTCCTATTTTTTTACAACAATTTTTCAAAAAATCTAGGTGATCTTATAGATGAATATATTTACTTTTTAAGAGATATGCAAGATAAAATAAGTGCTACATCCGATTTTGAATGCTTGGGACCAGACTTTTATAATAGCAAAGATGAAGAGGACGAACCTATCGAGGCAAATTAATAATATGGGTAATTATTTTTGAAGACGACAAAAATGCTAGATATGATTTACTTTTAAACAATACACGCATAATGATCACAATTGTAGTACTAGAAAATTTCTGGTCCGCCTTCGAAAATAATTACCCATATTAAAAATATGTATATCCCATATACTGTATGAGAAAAAAACGGACACATTATATAAATAGAGAGTATACTATTCATCATCCAATTTTAGGACCAAATCTATAACTTATATAATTTATATAATTTTTCCAGGCTAGTATAAATTTCTTCATTATATCAATCTTTAAATCTGCCATTCTCTTATTATAAGTTTTCTTATTTGAGCACACTGTTTTACATCATATCTAATATGATTTTCTGGATCTCTTTTTTATTATAAGGTCTTAAGATAGTTTATATATAACACCTCTAATTTGTTATATTTTTTGATACCTTGACTACATAATACTTTAATTACCTAAAGAAATTAAATTAAAATAATTAGTTTATAAATATATTTCTGGATATCAATTTTTGATATATAGTATATTAAAATTACTAATTTTGACAAAAAAACTTGAAACTTAAAGTACAATATATATATATATATAATTTATAAAAAAGTTTGATTGTGTTATTTACTATTAAATAGCTAACTCTTGTATTTTTTTCTTGGATTTTTGAATTCATATATACTGTATGTTAACTATTTATATTGTAGAATAACTAATATTAACTTATAGACTTATAATCTGTAAAAAATAGTTAATATAAAACTCTATTACTTATATATTAATAAAGTAATATATCTGATGTTTTTTATATAAAAAAAATATGTTTATTTAGAATTTAATAACAAGAATTTTATAAAAATTTTAAATTATTAATAATCATATTTTGTATTATTATAAACCTTAAAAATTTTATAAAAAACATAAATTTTATTTCTAGAATTTTTTTTTTTCATAACAATAACAATAACAATATATTTCAGAAATATTTTTTACAAAGTTTACAATTTTTAATTATTTTCTAAAAGAATTTACTATTTCTAATTATTTATAAAAATTTAATTCATATCTATTTATCATTTGTAATCAATTATATTGAAACCTTTTTTTAATAAAATTTATTTTTGATTTAATTTAAATCACAATTTTGTTTTATTAAATCAACATGTTTACTTTTAATTATTGATTTTCTATTTATAATAAAAAATAGGATTGATAGATACAGTAATATCAAGATAATTTGATAAAAGTAAACTGACATAAATAATATTTATACTATTAAAGAAAATCATTTATATATTTCAAGATTAAAATATTTTTTAATTATTAATGTTATCACCGATACGATACTATACTTGAACTAAAAAATTTCTAGATTAATGAAAAATCATATGTAGTATCTTGACTTTTTGCACATTTAATAATATAATTTATAAAAAAGTATTTTTTTTTTCTTTTAAGATGATAATAATTTTTTTAAAAGAAAAAAATTGCACAAAATGATAATTTACTTTACCTTTTTTCCTAACTAATTCTTTTTTATTTTTTAATTTATATTCCTTAATAAAAAAAATCCACATACAGTACGTATATAATGTATAACGATTATAAGAGTATACAGTATATTAAAAATTACTGTTTTTTTTCCAACAAGTTGTATGTAATGCGTTTATGGAAAAGTCGCGTGTTTCAAATTCATGTTTTTCATTTATGCCAATTTTGCAATCTAGAAATATCCTGTTGCCTTAATTTTTAACAGGAAAAAACATGAATAATGATCATTGAAATTTTTCATAATATCGAAATTTATTTATGAAACACGAAATTCACGAATCATTTAACGAGATGTTTAATTTTTCTTAGATCCTACAAAAACTAGCCCAGGTAATCAAACTTTATTTTTTTATAAAGTGTAGCCAGCCAAAAAAAAAAACAGTCGAAAAGCTCCACAGAAAAAAAAAGATAAAAAGAAAAAGACACATCTAATATCCAACTTTTGTATATACAGTAAAAAGGAATTGATAAAAAAGAGAGATGAGAGAGATATAGTTTAACAGCGTTTGGAGAGAAGCATCATTCTATATAAAAAAAGTGAGAGAACGAACAATGGACAAGACAGGAGAAAAAGGGAATATGGGGAGAGATACACTAGAGAAAAACTATTCACAAAGCAACTTTATAAGAAAAAGAAGAAAAGAAAATTATATATAAAAAAAAAAATAGAAGAAAAATATTTACAGGTTATATCATTATCAAAAAAAACCTATCGTTTGTAGTAACAATACTAGGTGTCTTTGATTAGTAGTAGTAGTAGGCATCAGCATTACGCTTGTAGTAGTAGTATGGGGTGGCTTCGGCATCACGCTTGTAGTAGTAGTATGGAGTGGCTTCGGCATCACGCTTGTAGTAGTAGTATGGAGTGGCTTCGGCATCACGCTTGTAGTAGTAGTAGGGGGTGGCTTCGGCATCACGCTTGTAGTAGTAGTAGGGGGTGGCTTCGGCATCACGCTTGTAGTAGTAGTATGGAGTAGCTTCGGCATCACGCTTGTAGTAGTAGTATGGGGTAGCTTCGGCATCACGCTTGTAGTAGTAGTATGGGGTAGCTTCGGCATCACGCTTGTAGTAGTAGTATGGGGTGGCATCGGCATCACGCTTGTAGTAGTAGTATGGGGTGGCATCAGCATCACGTTTGTAGTAGTAGTATGGGGTGGCATCGGCAGATGCCTCGGCATCACGTTTGTAGTAGTAGTAAGGTTCTAATAATTATAAAGTTATCGATCAGTAAAAAAAACCATCAAAATGCATTCTCAAGATTTTTATTCTACTTACCAGCAACAGCTGAAGCAACGAACAAGGCGACTACAAGGCAGATTGCGGAGAACTTCATTTTGTAGAATTTTTTTTTGTCTTTTTGTCTTACTGAAGTTATCAGTGAAGTGAGGAATCTTGGAGGGTGAAACCTCAGTGGTTTATATAGTTTTTTACGCTGTAGGTTCTTAAATCTGAACGATAATTTGTTTCAAAGCCTTGATGCTATAATAACATCGCGTTTTCCTACTGATTTTACGCAAAGATTGATTTTACAAAGCCTCCAGGGCTAAATAATCATGTGATCTCTGTCTTAATTTGCGTGTAGCCATATATTCCTTATTTTATTTGTCGACATTTGTTTTTTAATATAGCCACAATATTTTTTTTTTTTAATATAGCCACAATATTGTTTTTTTTATATAGCCACAATATTTGTTTTTTTTTCATATAGCCACAACATTTGTTTTCATGTGCCACAAAAATTGTTATTTACATAGCCACAAAATTTATTTATTATATAGCCACGAAATTTGTTTCATATGGCCTTAATTAGATAGCCTTGTTTTATTCGTATTCTATTATGGATGAGGCGAAGCATGGCGAAGTCACAATTCCGATGGTATAAAAAGAAGTTTCTCGTCTAAAACATGGAAATGGAAATGCTTGAAGTATTAAAACTTGAATTTGATAAACAATTTCGCAAATCCTGTATTAAAAAGGCATAAAATTTCGTGACTGCGATTAGTTCGTTACCTAGCCGACTTAAAATTAAGAGTCGGAAGGGGCAATAATTTCTTGGTTTAATAACAGTTTAATTCCATAGTGGGAAAATATCTTACAGAAACTTGCGGCTTTAAACCATTGTCGGCTGAAATTGTTTGCATGTTCATATTATTGAAAAGCCCTTCCCTCAGGATAACGCGTGAACGTCCACAGATCCACTTCAGATTATCGTTAATTTTTTACGAGGAATAATTTGAAAGTAACACACAGGTCTATTAAATACTATCTTTTCATCTGCACAAATGTTAATTTTCATCAAGTTCACTTGAAGATTTATCATCGTCGTCTATAATTGCCATTCGATTGGTGTTCTCAAAAAGTTCGTCGGAACTATCATCATTTAGTCTTATTTTTAGAGATCATTAAGATTTACGATCAAATAAGGCGAAGAAATCTTGCAATTACCTAGAGGTATTTTTTGTTTCCATCTGATTCTCAAATTCGATAGGCCTTTATCAAATTA